TAACAAACTATTCATTGCTTTTATTTTAACAATTGATATGAGTCCAGAAATAACACAATACGTCTATAATTACATATTATATCGAGATATTACTTTATCAATTCCAAGGGAAAGCACATGAAGTAGGAATGGGTTGTTAATGTGAGTGTTGCACTATCAAAAATTCCCTTGAACGATTCAACCTGACATTTTCATTGTTCGGATTGTTGTGACTAAATAGATGGCTTCAACAAAGCTTGAGCACGAGAATTAGTGAGGTAATCTCTCGAGTATTATAAAGGAAAACCATTGGATTATAAAATCCCAAAATTATTGTTTCATTGCAATGTAATATTCAGGTATTTTGAATGTAAATTCATCCATTTTCTAGCGTCAGTTGATGAAGACTTATATTCTGTGCGTTCAACTGTTTGACTGTTTTCGTATCATAAAATTTAATTCCTTATTTGGTCAATTTGTTTGATCTTAAATTTGATCGAAAATTATATTGCCCACGGACAAAACTTTAAAAATACGACGAAAGTAGTTTCGCATTGTAACATGGAAATTGGATAAATAAATTCATGCTCCGTAGTTTATGTATTATAATCAAACTACGTTTTTTTTCGAAGGTGTGTTTTGTCTAAGGGTTTCCTTCGATGATGCGTCATTACCTCATATAAATAAAATCACCATCACCGAAGACAGTATACAAAGACAAAAGCAATTTCAATGCAATGCTGCTGGTTTATTTTATTTTTTTAACACATTGTCCCCGCATCTACTTGTGTTTGTAATACGTGCCGCTTATGTTGAGCCTCGTTCAAAGAAAATGTTTGCAACAACTCATATATGTTGTAAGAACATGACAGCTTTCAAGAATAGCTATGAAAATGAAACCATACTCTATAGACATCGTAAAGTTGCTGAGCGACTATATTACATCATATTGCTAGAAATATGTAAAATTAATTATTTGTTCTGGGTCACGTTAGGTATAACTCGTATGAGGTCGGGTAATAAAGCCCCACCTCAAAATCATACCCGATATAGCGAAGGTAGGAGCGACGTGTGGTTAAGTTTATCTATGAGAAAATACACCACTCGGGTGTTTTCCAAATACAGTTTCTTTGTTTGACTTAATCTACAGCAAACTTTGGGTTCACAGGCCAACAACGTTCTGCACGAACCAGATTAAATTTTTATGGTTCAGCTATGGCACCCACCTGAGCGTAGTTCATAGTCCATACTTTGGTTGTAAATGTAAGAGTAAATATTTCCCTGTCTAGGGCTTTTTCGATTAAAATCTAATAGGTAGTTTCGACAGATAGCACGCAAGTAAACAGTTATATTAGCATAACCATAACTAACAATTAAACGTAAAATGCGCCCAAAATGTCCAGTGTATTTACCAGATAAATCTTGGCGACTAAACTAAGATCAATCTGATGTTTAGGCTAATTGTAGAAACATGAAAATCTCTCGAATGGCTCTTGGAATCAATTGAAGCAGAGCATGGTTTTATCATGTTTTTACCCTTCCAACAACATTGTATCAATCTTACGTTTCAGGGATAAGCTTGTCCAGAGTCTTGCCCCGAACAACGATGCGAATCACCCATTAAAATAATGTACCATCCCCATCTCTTCACAACCAGGTGGATCTCATTGATTCATTTTATGACGATTTCGCCAATCAAATTAGGTATTTTATATGTAAAAATCTCATTCTTTGGAATTTAAAAAGCAATAAACAAGTAATCAATCTATTCAAAAAATATATACCCAAATTAATCAACCCCCCTCGATCTCCGCTTTTGCATATAATTCTGGATCACATTCAAAATGACTCCCGTTCCACATATTTACAATAATATTTAGTGACAATTGTATGAAAGCGTCCTTATTATATTACAATAATCAAAGACTTCGAGAGCAAAGGAATAGTATCAGAATGGCAAATCAACAATTGAAACATTCGTTCGCTGACGACGACATTTAGGTGTAGTTGAGGTCATTTTATACATCCATTGTTTGCTGCGACAATTGTCATCAAATCTGACATTATCTCGCCAAGCTTACGCGTGTGATGGAGAGAGAAAGTCCCGATAGCATGCGTCACCAACATCACCAACACATACTAATCAGCACATATATGGCAGTAATTTGAATAAGCTTTAGTTACCTTTTAATATCACTGAATTTGACACTATCCTCCACAGCATTTATATATATTTTTCGTAACATCCTGCGTCGACTATTTAACTGGTTGGAAATTGAAAAAGTTTTGTTATAAAGTTCAACCAAAACACGGGAAAGCTTATGCCGTGGCCGTGAAATATCGTTCATACGGTTGGTAAAGCTGTGAACCACAGTGTAACATCGCTGATCGCATCGATGATCGACGCTGATTTCAAATGACAGCACAATGGTTCATTCTCAAAAACGATTCAAATGGCGATTTGGCATCATATATGCCTCCCTTACCCATGACTGCGATTTTTTTTTGCCGATTTGTATCGAACTCGCAATATTAAGAAGCGATCGATAACTTGTTAGAACACAATCAAAATGTAATGCAATAACAAAGTAGTTTTTACCTAAAATGATCACGTGTAATTGGACATGGTATTGAAGTATTTATTCTTCAATCGCCATTGGATATTCAGAAATTGGACAATAACGCGCATTACATTGCCCACAACTGAACGACCGGCAATAATCGGAAATTGCTGAGAGAACGTTTAACATTTAAGGTCTAAATACAGGTTTTATCGTAATGTAAATAGGTTACGAAGTTTTATACCAGTTGGCATCAATTATTTTTTATATCAAAATAGTCGACTACTGTTTTGGTAGCCATCTTTGAGAACGATTCACAAATAAAAATGGTTAGTAAGCCGTGCCCAGGGAAACCACCTGCAGCAACGAGACTATAAGAAATTATTTATGTGTATTTTTTGTAAATTGGTAGAAGGCGATAACAGGGAATGTTGGATAGGTAGTGTTTCAATTCGGTCTTTGTCTGGGCTTTCTATATATATTTCTATTTCGAACAAATCCAATTAAACACGAAATACTAAACCTTAATATCCGCACTCTCTACCGGAAAATTTTCGTTTAACGATTCTGGTATAATGTCGTAAATTTATTGGGGTAATCCCCATGTATTTTTTCGTGGGACAGTCATACTTATTATATCAACATACGATAACAAAACAAAAATTCCATTTCATCGAGCTTAACATCCGCATCGCGTGTTATCTAAAGCACATATATTAATATATCAAGCTTTGAAAAATTTGGCACTATTCGGTTTACGGAAGGCTTCCGAACATCCATTCCTACAGATTTGCTAGAATATGTCGAAAGGGTAAAATTGGCGAACTTTCCAAGCCTCAGTAATTCTCATTACCTCACTGTGTAGAAACGTACCTAGATCAGGGGTGCACAACCTTTTTGCTATTGGCGGCCACATTTCATTTATTTGTATTCAATACGGACGCAAGGGGGTTGATGAGCGCGCCCAAGGCGCGCGGATTTTTTTTGGCTTTTATGACGACATCATCGCGTATTTAACCCATGCGAAGTGCAGTCTGCCCAATTATAAAGTATGTGGGACTACTTGGAAGTATAATATTCGCATTTTAAACGGATTTTTTTTCTTTTCGGTGGACCTATTCTTGAGCAGATATATTGCAGCAAGTTGCATAAAGGTTGCACAATTTTGAAAAAAATCGAAAGTCGGGGAGGGGGAGAGGGGCGTCGGCTCCTATTTTCTTTTCCCCAAAATGATAATAAAATGTCAAATATTTTAATGAATTTATTCTGTAAAATTTTGCAAAGCATTGTAGCAATTTAATGACTCCCTTGGTCTTGCATGTGGGCAGATAAACTTGCAAAGTCAGGTAACTGGCTGGATATCATCAGCCTTAGTTCAGACTCCAGATTGACGTCTAACAATCTGGTTCGGTACTAATTCTTCAGGTACGGCATTCTTGAAAACGTTGCTTCGCACGTGTAAGTGTTTCCAAAAAGAACGAGTGTTTTTTTTGCCATTTCTTGTAGCACTGATTATTCAACTGCGCCTTTCCATGTGTCCAGCAGATTTTCCTCGTCTTCAAACTTCTGCACAAGCTGTTCATCATTCTTTTTGCACCAGCATAGCCGCCAAATCCTATATTTTGAACTTTTTTTTTGTTGAAATATTTTTTTGTATGTGGACGGCGCATTATTTTGTCACGACGGCCGCAGGTTGTGCACCGTTGACCTAGATCCTAGACTAGACCAACAGTGTGTATAACAGCCACTTCAATATTTAAGTAATGACTCCCGATTTCATATGTTCTTTACTGAATTTTTTGACTATGTTGTCCATTATGAGGTAATTTCATTCAAAATGTAAATTAGAATATATGATTTTCCCTAGTTTATCGCGTCTGAAGTATTCAAAATTTTATTTTGCTGATAAATGCTTGTATTATTATATTTTGTCACTGGAACCCAAGAATTAATATTTCCATTGAACAAAACATTTCTAGTTAGATGAATATATTGAATTTTATCATTTAAAAAGAACATTGTTTTCCTATTTTTTGTCAATATATGTAAATATGTTATTTTTAGCAATGCAGGTAGAAAAAATTTGAAGCCAAAATCAGATCAAATTTATTTGTACGAACCATGCTATAATCATTACTTTATCTTTAAAAAAATTCTCAAAGAAGATGGTATAATTTGGATCTTAAATTGTAGGCTCAGCAATGTCATCGTTGAAGCATATCTAGTTTAGCTACTCCACTTCCTACTAAGGTTTAGAATTTACACGAAAATCGAATGAAACCGTTTAGGGGAACCACCGGCGTTTCTCCCCTGGTTTTCAGAGCGCAGCGTTTGTCGAGATAATCCACTGGTAATTTTTAGGTATAGCTTAGTCAAATTGATTAGATGTTTGAATGGACATAAAAATATACCCCTATGAATTCAATAATTCAATTCCGTTTATTTGAAAATCCAGCGAAACAACCAAACCACCTCAAAATGTAAAAAGAAAAAACGAGAAAAATTTACCATATCAATAATATAGTAACATTTTGTAATAATAGATAATAGTGCAGCAAGTAGAATAATTTGGTGTTAGAAATTTCCATCAGCTCGTTATCGACAGAGTAAAATTTAGACTACAGAAGAATGACTCTGCGGCGCAGTAACTGCTTCAGTGCTTTCTTGATTTTTCGTGGCGCGTTTAAGATGCCATGGCATTAGCCTTGTCCTCCAATTTGGAAAAGAGAAAATCATACACATCGTGTTTATGACAATGTTAACGTCGTATAAATAAGTCGTCGTTGTGACGGTATCCTTTCTGGTGAACAGTATGATCAAAGCAAATCCAATATCAGAGGCAATGCAGATGCTCGCTGTACATGTGGCCCTTTTCAATAATGAGAGGATTCGATTCTTCTTCCCATCTCCAGGTTTGATAGCACGGGTACGACGATGTTTTAGCAAAGGGTAAACAAATAGTGAGAGCAAACATACTTGAAAAAATGTGGTCCAAGCGATCAAAATTACCCATCGAAATGTCGCCAACTTGGTATTCTGGAGAATACACCCACCCGGGACTCCGATGTATCTGCCGTCGACAGCAAACAGAATAGTCGTGGAACTAACACCCAGAACAATAACGACTGACATACTCCAGCTAGCAAATTTGATAAATTTGGAGCTAAGATGTATAAATTGTGAGTTTTGATAAAAAATTCTTTGTCGTAACCACAAAACGGAGTAGACTGAAAATATCGATATGGAATAGCCAAATATTTTATATTTAATTGAAGCCTCACATCCCAAGTCTGTATTTCTTCCTAGCGTGAAACGCAGATCAATGCCGGCACGCATGAACGCACCAACGGCTCCAGTTGCACAGAGAATGTTGAGAGAAAATGCATACTTCGTGTTCACGGTGTTTCTGCTTTCTGAGTTTCTTGTTTGAGCGTCATTTTGCGACCTTCCTGTACGTTCCAGCACGCAGTAGGCTATTTGTGCCACGGCAATATACAAAGAAAATATCCCCAAAGGTATGCTTAAACCCGCGCAGACCCACCATTCCGTCTCATAATCAAACCGTTGCTGAAAAGATGTAGTGGGTCCGCTTGACGCATTCATCACAACGCGCTCAGCTCAGCAATGATGAGGACTGAGGACCTAGTAAAGAAACAAACTGTACACTGTTCCGTTGTGTGTGTTGTGGGCAAAAAATTGATAATTACGCATGCTACAATATGTACATGGCATCCCACCTTCCTTCTGACCTCATTTTTCTGGCTTATTACAAACGCAAACAATTTACAAATTGCTCTTGTAAAAACAATATGTGGTATGCAATACAGATGGATTCTTGATGAAAGCTTTCGTAGGCTATTATGTGTTGAATACGCATAACAAATAGCTTCACTTTGGACATTCCCGTTTACAATACTCATCGATTTTTTCCCCTAACTTTCGATCGATAAGTCTTCGGTCTCTGACCGATATTCTCGTTCATCTATTCCTTGATATTTTACATTACCATAAATTACTTAGCGGTCAATGAAGTGAAGCGATAACCGACACCGATAAAAAAAAACTTCAGATCAACGGTTCCCAACCGGGGGATACAGAGCAGTTGGGGCAGACGGGGCCACGATATTAGGCACAAAATTGATTCTAATTTCGTTTAGATACTTTTACCTGTATAAGAAAATTCCCTGTTCTACCCGGTTTCATTACCTCATAAGGTTATTTCACAGGGTGTTTTCACCTCCTTGTTCATGGATTATTTGATCTACCAATGAACCCTAGTTAGTTGATAGGCCTTCTGACTTGCTGATATTGGTTAAACCCAGCCTACAGTTTCTCAGAATTGCAGGGTTGCCGTCGTAAACGAATTGTAGAAGCAGAAAAGTATATTTAAATTCATAATATTTCCAATAATTGTGACGACAATTACGTTGCCTTGGCTTTACCAATGTAAATAGAGATGGATAGAATGTGCTCAATGCGTACATCGTTACTTTTTTGGAATAATAACAAGGGGGCCACGAGTGCTTAAAACCTTCGAAAGAGGGCCCTGAGTCATGAAAGGTTGGGAACCACTGCTCTATATGCTTTTTAACTTCATGATGGCGCGCTTAAACGGTGTGTCTCTTTTCTTATAGTTCAAAGACAATATTGTGAACTATAGCAGTGTTTCCCAACTTAATTATGGGTCGCGACCCAAAACTGGGTTGCTTATTTTTTCAACAAAATCCTAAAAGTTACTGACTTTATTTTATAATAAATTTTTTTTTGATATTCAAGCGTTGTTCAGAATATGTGGGAAGCATCACGGGGTAAAACGTAAAAACCTGGTGGCATCTACCTTGCTAATTGATGGCATGCCACAATTTCGAAAGCAATCGCAGCTTTCTCACTTTGACGTAATAAATGATTGCTGTGTGAAAAAGATTGTTTTATATTTGTAATCTATTTAATTTTGCGGTCATAAAGGCACTACATTACGTTTATGAGCATGAGCATTGGGCCGCTCAAAAAGGGTGGAAATCCCTGAACTATACCACTGTATTAGGTGTACTTTAATATTAAACTTTATGTTATACCAAAGACGGAGCATTCCCAAGTCTTTTAGTGCTGTATGGCTCTTACGGTAAACTTATCCCACACAAAAACAATCTTAGTAGTGAACATAAATTGACGTGTTTCGGTCAGGGATTGGCTTCGTTCAGAGCACATCACAAAAAGGCGAGAACCATGAAACGCTGAGGTATCTTTCAAAATATGATTTAAGCCTATTTTTTTATCTGTTATCTAAGCAATGATGAACATTTAGTGTAATAATTCACTACAATACACTCCACGCTGACGCGGGTAGAAGTTGTTTATGTATATTTTAGCGTGTCCGTTAATAAAAGCTTCTACGTGGTATCACGTGAAGTAGCCTACGCGTTGTGGTCATGAATAAACATTTGGGTACTGTATATTATCGCGGGAACTACGTGTGGGGCAATATATGTATACGTGAAAAGTTATGCTCTTACATATAACCAAGCGAAAGCAGGTATAGGCTGAGAATTATGTAAGTTTGAATATTTAGAAGCCAAAATTTACCTCATTTATTTAATAAATATGCAATCGTTTCAACAAATCAATGCTTCAACAGTTTGTTTACTTTCAAAGCGTAATCTCCGGTATAATCCTCCGATTACCGCACCCCGCAAACGAAACCAAACTTTGCGTACGGCATTTTCGTAAGCGACGAGCGTGGGCGGCATCGCAACCTTGGTTTACAGACACTCTCAAAATAACGTTAGAGTACTGTCTCGTAGGCGTATGTATACATGGTATCTCAATCACAGCACCACAGATGTTTCTAACTTGATATTTTCTGTGGAAACTGAAATTTACATACAAACGCCATAAAATTCTTATTCATGACACAAACATCTTTTCATATTCTCGATTACCAAGATCACCAGTGTGCAAAGGTACCAAAGAGGTGAAACTATATTCTCGGTTCGATACCGCAGCATGGATACCAGACCTTGGATATTTTCGATCTCATTATTGGCATACAGAACGCTAATTTCCGCATAGGGCCTATACAAATGTTATGTGTGATCCAGGTATTAATTTTTTATAACTGATTAATTACAATTTCCTTTCATAGTGTAACATTCAAATAAATATTATTTTGTCGAAAATTTGATTGTCAAAAACGAACATGTACCGTGTCACAAAAATATAATTGCAAACTGTGTTGCAATCTTTTAGTGATTTACTCAGTACATTAGAGGTCTGTAATTTTCTGTGGAACTAACAATACTCGGCCCAGCCAAATAATTCTTCATTTCTCTGCGTTTGAGTATGAACCGCTGTAAAATGTATACACTATAAACCGTCCGTGTTGGTTTTGGATCAGCAAAGAACAACTTTCCACGCTTTACAGGTGACAACAATACGTATTCAAACATACACAATTTTTATTATCGTACGTTAACAACAACCACTAAATGCCAATCAAACCCAGTTCATGCTTGAAATATATTCTTTCTTTTAATAAATATATTCACATTACGTATTACGCCATTGTATGTGCATGTGAGTCTGACAACAAATACGAGGCCATAAAGACACACAACTTTGGATGAGCGACGAGCGTGCTTGGGAAAATCCTAACATATGATAATATGCAAATGAGATTACCCAATAGAAGGGTATGTCGTGGTATAATTAACAGGAAACCTAATCCATCATTTTTTATACCCTATCGACACACCGTGTAATCAGATATTTTTTTAGATATGGTAGTGAACAGTATGCTGTGACAAAACACTGCTAGTTAAGAGATGGAAAAAAAGGGGAATACATCTATGGTATTTCGCGATAATAACTTGGTAACATAAATGATAAAAAGAAGATGGTGATGATTTCTTTTAGGAATTTTAGCGACTGGTGTAGTTATAAATCGACACGCAACTGCAAAACCATCGCCCGCTTATTCATTTGTTGTTTTCTCTAAATGCATAATTTGCATGGCTTTGGACAAATAGCCAACTAGTGCTTTCTTGTTTCAATTTCAAGATTTTTGTTTTGTAATACGAGGATACTCACGTTAGCACTACATGTAAAGTACGAGCAAGTAAATAAGTAATTTATTGTTCGGAGACGCCAACTAGCGGTTTATAATTTATAACCGGGTGATATGAAAAGCTATTGAAATTCAAGGATCATAGGATTGTAAAACAAGAGAGCTACGCACAAATATATGGACACGTTAGACCAGAGCGAATCAGTCCTTACCGGTACCCTCAAAAAAGTTCTGAATTTCCAGTAGCAAGAATTTTGCAGAATCAAAACGTACAGCCAGTCATGACACTGACTAAAATCCGTGTTACCATGGATAAAAAATAATACAGCAAAATTTTAGACGAAATATCAAATTTCATAGAATTCACGCAAAATTTTGAAATAAATAAAAGTAATAGCCTTCTAGCGAAAAAATTAATCTTTAACCACTGAAAATTTCAAAGCAATTGGTCCAGTATTCGAAGAGAAAAGCGACTTTTTAAAAACGTGTCAAAGAACAAGAACAACAACAACAACATAATATTGAAACGATCGTTATGTCCACTACGTGTCCAATAATGGACTTTTCCCCGACTTTTGACTTCCGAAACATTCTTCCTTTACTTTACCATTGCAAAATTTTCGGGGCTATTTTGAGAGTCCTTTGGCGAATTGGCGCCTGTGAAATGGGGTATGTGTTTCAAACCATCATCATGATTCATCGCATACAACAATCTGATTTTCAAAAGTACTGGTAAAGCATTTTAGCCTAGTCTATCACAGCTATTTCTACACAAATTTTTAATTACTGCAATTAAAAATAAAACTTCTAGGAAGACAGAGTGACCATTGAATTATCTGATTTATATTTAAGTTTCCGAAACACAACTGAAAACTAACGAATAGAGTTCAAAAACGTGAAAACGAGATTCACGACCACGCGCGAAAATCTGCCTGAGGGAGAAAATTGTATGAGCGGATGCGAAAAGGGAGCATTGCTACGTCACTTTTTGCATCTTGCTGATTGGCCAATGTCACGACGTAAACAAGGAAGTCTATGCTCGGGGGAGGGTCCATTGTGCACCACGCTGGTAAAAATAGAAGGAATTTTCCAGTTAAATGTGATTTATATACTAATAGGGCGTTCTGCACCCAAATCTTATATGAAGTTCTTGTATATATTTTCCTTTCCTTTTCACAAGTGAGTTATTACTATTTATTTTATTAATCTGTCTTCAAATCATGCAGGGTTGCCCATTTCAATAGCTTGCGGGCACTATATTGCAAGATGGTTAACCATATCAAGTTACGCGGATCTGTTTTTTCTTTTGCTTCTGTATCTATTTTCGTATCAAGAAGTATTCCGAGCAGACTTTGAAACCAGTTTTAAATAGGTTTTACGATATAAGTCATGCTCTTCTTCGAATTGGAATTAGTTTTCGCTTTTTCCTCTATTTTAATTTCGCTTACACACCAAGAAGACAATATTCTGGACTGTTCTATGAAACCAGGATGTCAAAGTACTTCTTGTGATCCTGTACCAACCGGATGGAATGAAATAGGATTCAACATGGAAGAGCATCTCCAAAACAAGGAGTTTCCTATACTATGTAAATCGAGAGACACGGAAAAATCAGGAAATGTACTTGCAACTTTGCTTCCAGCAATATATGATAACATGAAAGGTGAGCTGAATAAAGTAGATAAGTTATCATAACCAGTTTGATAAATACCCTCTTTAGTTATGATTGGAGGTACACATGCTTCATTACAGAAATTAACAAGTTGAAGACTAAAGTAGACGGACTAGAAAAGTCAACTAAGCAAGGTAGGCTATGTCAAATTTACCATAGAAATCACAATAAGTATTGGGCAAAAAGTGGTGATGGCAGATTTTATTTGAAATTTTTTTTTTTTCGAAATTGAATTTTATGTAGCTGAATAGCAAAAACCTAAAATTCAAACAAACAAAAAGATATTGGCGTCATGATTCCAATTTAATTATAAATTGCAAATACATTAATGTGTAAATTATTTGGTGGTATTGTGAGACTTCACCTGATTTAAAATTAATAATTCGAGGAAAAATCATATCGCCCTTACTCACAACTGTTTGATATTGCTTTCAACTACAAGTCTGGATTTCCGGTGGGAGAAAATTTTATATCCAACTCTAGTTCTCAGCTTCCCGAAAACCGACTCCATACCTTTTCCCGCTAAAACTAAATAAACTCACCTCAGAGCAAATGTTGACCACTGGACACTCTGTGATCTACTGGGATCTTGAATAAACATGACATCATGAGGCATACAGTTTAATTCAACATATATATGTATTAAATGATGATGTAATTTCAGTTATAAAAACTGTGGTGGAATTGAAACAAAATTCTCAGGGTCCTCAAAATTTAAAGGATGATAAGATCACACCTACGGTACCAATGACTCCAAACATCTGGGACACAACATTCACACCACACACAGGTTACCTATTCTAGTAAACAATGTAAATGTGTATGGATGCTTTTTAAAATAAATACAAGTGAGGCGCAAAATGTAAGTCAAAACAGTTATTCTATCTTTTCCGATCTATTAATAATTGAAAATAGCAATGACCCGATATTAGTTTGCGTTACACAACGTAAGATCCCGGAACATAGTAAGCTACCATTTCAAAAATTTGAAGATTTAAATATAGAATTCTGAATCACTCCGTAGTCCAGGGGTGTATCACGACAACATGCCTTGCTTTGTGCTTTATAAAATAATTTATGTTTTGACGTAGTGTTTTATGAGTCATTCACGTTTTGACGCACATTTTATAAAGAATGCGTCAAAATTATCACCACGCTTGTCGATGCGATTGGACTTTTCAACCCATTCTCCCAATCGCCAACAAGACTTACTTCAGTTTAAAAGAATCGGGAGCTTTTATCAGTAGGGTGATTTACCGGGGTGAAGGACCCAAAATTTCTAACCCTCCTCGTTATTACGCACAATACTATATTTACTTTATTCCATTTTGTTTTTAGATGGCTGTGATCTTGTCTATCAAAACATCTGTTATTTTACTGATATTCGTCCAGATCGTGACATTGATTTTTCCAAAGCTTTGAAAATTTGTGAGAAAAAGAATTCCGAAGTTGCTCAAATATTAAAAGAAACTTATAAACAAATGATGAACATTTTAAGAACAAAAATGTCTGATGAGCGTGAATATATTTTTGTTTGGACTAATCTCAGAATAGATATAAAAGTATGTTTTAACTTTACAAAATTATTTTTACCATTATTGTCAAATATACTCCGCACAAAATTCAAAGTAGATAGCGTTTTTCATAAAAGACGAGTTGCTTTTACTATTTACGAGGAAAGTATTACATAGTCAATTCTCAATTCATATTCACTCCATTTGTTTGCATGTTAGTTTTGTGAAAGGGTATGATATCCAAACTTTTCCGTCGTGTTTGTCGTCATGAAATTTTTAAATTCCTATTTTCAGACCCGTGTTCTCACACCTGAAAATTCGTTTACTCACTGGGCCAACCGCAAACCGGATACAGGTGGTTCATACTGGGGATGGACTAACGTTTATCTTCGCGTTGATCGTGATAGAGATCATCCATATCAAGGCATGCTGAATCAACATCCTGCAACTCGAACACATGGCACTGTTTGTCAAAAACAAATCTAATGCAACTTGCATGATTCGATCTTGTGTATGTATTGTATATATAAGGTTTACATTGATGGGCACATAATACATTAACGTATGTGACGTTATCGACTAGTTTAGATAGCAGTTAAAATATTTCTCAAATAACCTCAAAGCATTTGTGTGACTTCGAAAACAACATTTCCAATTCCAACAAAAGAGTTATTTTTGAGCATATATTCATGTCAAAATTTTGTTCAGACGTACTGAATAAAACAAGGTGTCCAATTTCCCAGATGTGTCAAATTGTCGGTTTCCTCCCACCTTATCTCCCATATTGCGATTCTATTTCCATGTGCTTCTACAGTGGTTATGTTTATTTATTAAAGTATTGCGATTGAATTAGAGTTCCGTCTAGAATGATCAGCGTTACAATTTCTCATCCTTATCTGAATATTTTATCTCAATGAATATTGCATGAATTTAAATTTGTTGTTCCTTAACTTAAAATATCTGGTTTTGCAATACGATATTGATTGTCTTATCCAGCAAACATGTTCCTATCCTCAAAAGTTCGAAATTCTATTATGGTGTTGGTTGGTTCTGAAGAAGCTCGAAACGTTTTTCTGGCATCTCAGAAATTGTTGTTCAATTCGAGCAAAGTGTAAGATTTTGATATAGAGTATGATTTCCTTTTCTACGGATACTTACTATAACGCTTACGTTTGGATAATGCTCTACGATACGGACTTTGGTGAACTCAGAAAACAATATTTTTAGAGCTATCAACTTCTATTACGTAATTTTGTCATTTGATTTCATGCGCTGGTGCATTTGTTGTCGTTATTATCTCTGATCTGAAAATTACGGGACGAGTTTGAATATATAAGCCGAAAATAAGATTCTGAGAAAAAAAGTAAATTCAATTCTGCTTTTATTGAAATTCAATAAAATACTTGGATGTATAATATGCTGCGAGGTATGAATTTCTAGTTTATGAATTAATTGTTTATTTGATCAGAAAATTCAATGAGATCTTTGTCATATTCCCCACGATACTCATTGTGCATTTGAATTACTGTAGAATTGAAGTGAAAATTCTGTTTTCAAACAATGCATATCTTTGGCTATATAAAATACCATGCGTATTATTCACGAGTTAGAATTACAACTGTGACTAGAAAGAGAAGGTTGTATTTTAGACGTGCTCAAATGTCCGTGCTTTGCTGAGGTTCCTCGATGTAATAAAATATTTGTGCTCGGAAAATTCCCTGCGATAGTTTGGTGAAACTTAGTAGAAAATTCGAATCCACAGCGATCTACTTCTAGAACAGCTACAACACGAATTTTTGCTGGAATAAATTCAATATACTTGAGAATTTAATTTGAAGTTAATAGTTAGTGTATTTGTTAGTGCTATCTTTACTTTTGAATTAGCATTATTTCTTTCAAAATAATGCGACTGAATGAGGTGCTAACAGTAATTTCTTATATGTGAGTTTGGTATGAAAAGATTTCGGATAATATTAAATTATATTTTTTTATTTACCACTCTACCCATTCGTCATTTTAATCTTTAATTTTTTCGATACTGATTTTAAGAGTTGTTTTCAAAAATTTCTGAACAAGGCTTTAGAAAAGCTTCCATGTTATGAATGGCACTTGTATGTTTTAAAAAGTGCGTTTGTTGTTTGTTTCGCCTCTAAATGATAAGAGATATGGAAATTACAATAATCTCGTCCGAATGTAATCAGATAGAAAACTCTTGATAGACTTTGATAGATGAGAACCATGTTGATTTTTAACATCTAATGAAATGCATATCACAATTTGATAAAATGTTAAAACTTGAACCGTATTCATTAGCGAAAGTTTTCAAGGCTGTGCAAAATGATATGAGGAAAATTTTATAAGCAATAGATAACAAGTGAAAGCTGTTTAACATTATAAGAACTTATAGCGATGTAGCACTTTCCATAAAGCCATGTACAGGTTGGTGAAACTCTCATTCATGACTACAGGCGGAGATCTTGTATGGTTGTATAGACTGGTGCTCGCAGAATTTTGTCTAAATGAAGTCAAAATATAAAAAAAATCACCAACGCCATGAAATTACTTCTTATCGCGAGGGAAAGGTAATAACCATTCGGTCGTCACGGGTATAGGTCAATTACGTCCACCAAAATATTTTTTAATTTCCAAATTATATTTAATTAGCTTTTCAGTGGAGTCATCTGATCCCGTGTCCTTATATGAAGACGCCAATGTGTGTACGTGTGTGCAGAAGAATATCAAATAAGTTCGCGGGTGTCGTCCTTCCTGAGATTTTTTCAATTTTCTTTTTACCGGTGATTACTGGAGGAAATGCGTTAATGAGCAAAGTATGAGTTGAATCATATTTACGTGTAACATAGTCAGGTAAAGTTTAATCTTACTAAATTATAAGTCAACACGAAGAGGTAATCATGGGGTCATTCTTAGTTTACGTGAGTCGTGTAATATGTTACATTTTATGCCATCAGAGGTCGATAAGGATATTTTTATCTATTAGAATAGTCAACATAAATTGCATATTTCATTCCTATTTTAACGGCAATAGTATTTTGAAAAACGTGAAAAGGGGATGTATGACGAAAGGGGAGGAATGCTTAAATAGCCATGAAATTTGGATACAATTTAGTGGATCAAGTCATAATTACATATATTGGGCACATTTCGAAGGCGAGTATTATTATAAAATTATCTACGCAGTGCCTCAGGCGTTGGGTATGAGATGATTTCTAAACGACAATGCTGGAGAATCAGCTAGAGTTTGCGTAAATGGAAGTAGATAAACTGACGCATATACTATTTCACCAAATCGACTCATTAAAAGACTATTAGTAGTCAAATCATAGAAATTCAAACAACGACAGCGTTCGTTGCTCTAAAATTGCTGTCTTTCGCAGGTAGAAGAGGTATATCGCACTAGTAAAGGAATGTTAGCATTTCGCAAACTGTGTTCCCGAGTTGCTTTCTTGAACGCTTAACATTTCCCAATTACATTTGTAATCATTGTAGTACGTAAAAAATATTGCGAATAATCATTTTTAATCAGTACTTGGATATTACATTATAGCTCCCCATTGCTTTGTTAGCGCCATCTTTTTCTAACATTTAGCTGTGTACAAATATGTCATTTGCATTCTAAAAATGTGAAGGATCAAGACTAATTATTAGTCATCTCTTTTTCACGAGATGGAGGCATTTGCATTCACGGAAATTCCAAAACTTTTTTTTTGTATTTCAAGTTCAGGCCATATGGGCATTTGAATTCATTACAATTCCTAAACTTTTTATACAACTGAATAAAAAAATTCGTATATTATATTTAGGCCAAGTAACAAAATTTTTATGTAAATATCAAACTTGTATTTTTCATATCGTATCCACTACATAAATATTTAAATCAAATGCTTCTTATTCCTGATATTGATGAGTAAACTACTAAGTTATGTATGCATATTATTATTTAATTACTACTTTAAAATTATATGAAGTAAAAGAAAGGATTACTTAGTTACAGTATTGAATCATACGTCAGAATTAAGTACTACCGGCACAAGTATCCAATATTCCCAGGCACAGAAGAACTAAACATCTTTCAAAATGTCGATGTTTAACAATCCGATGTAAAATTACATTAGTTGAGACCTACAGTGTTATTTCTTCTTGAATATCCGTTTCTAGCCACTTTTGTTGTCACTGCTTTAAATTGTTGTTGACTTTTCAGAATAATATTTTTTACGTAAATAGATATTGTTGTCAAAGTATTTGGTTAAGCTGCACATACAAACTACATAAACCTAACCGATAAAATTTTGGACAAAAGAAAAAACAGCAAATGAATCTGACCGATACATCAGGATTTACCTCTATTATGGAGGCTACTGACGTGGTGACACAGATCGACGACAGACTGGCGGACTGGAGAACTTACCAGATCTTAACATCTCTGACAGCTTTCTTATCATTATACATTGCTGTAACTCAAATATCGTACTGTTTTCTAGTTCTACCAAAAAAGACGAATGCAAAAAGAAGTAAATTCGATGAAGTGCAGACATCTCATTCACGGCCAGGCCCACAGGGGCAGTTTTTCTGTACACTCAATGTCATGGTGACGGTTGCAGCAGTATTTGCATTCATGCGCTGCGGATTTGACTTTTGCTGGGTAATGGAACGCTTCACTGACCTCGCTTGCGAATTGTCAATTAAGTTCAAGAAGTCATGTTACGCAGTCTCCATGCTGTTTATATACCTATCGTTATGGCTGCGGCAGAGAGTTTTCTACCAACACCCACTATTGCATCATCTTAGCTCCCGAGCTGTTAGATTCATAAGCTGGAGCGTATCAGTTCTTCTGGTTACTGGAATTGTTTTTCTTGGGGTATTCTACATGGTAACAGCTACCTATGTCGGTACTCCTCGCGGGTGTACCGTTGTGAAAAATCCACTAACTATCGTTCGTTGGTACTTGCTTGTTTTTATACTTGTCCCCTTTCAAATTTCTCTTCTTGCACTATATTCATACCCTCTGATAAAACACAGACTAGTTGCAATGGGCCCCACGGGAAAGGCAAATCATGTGATTCCAATGATTAGGCGAGCGGCACTGGCAGCAGCGTTTTGCTCGGTGTCGGATATTGCTTTTGCCACTGTGTTCTTGGTATACGAGAGTGACGTTATGACCTTGACCACATATCTCTATGACATTAATATTGTTATTAATTTACTCGGGTTAATATTTTCATTCCAAAATTGGCAGACCAGACTCATGCCATGGAGAATTAAGAAGAACGAAGATTTAGATTCAGCTACAGAATCGAAAGTTGAAACAACTTTAACTCAAGTGTAATAGACACAATATTTGGACGTGACGTTTTTCTCCATGTTTTCTAGTCAAGCAGATGATGCCACTGGAAAATTCTATTTTCCACAATGCAAGGAGATAACGAATTAAATTGCCCTATTAATAAAATATTGCTTTGATTAAATACATTTTTTTGTTTCATTTCAATTTTTTTTTTCAATATTTTTTTTTAGCTTTTCCTTCCGTTGCCACCTGTATTGTGAATCACATCCCATCATGTTGTTAAATTGAGAACATCTTGAAAACATTGTATTTATTTGTAAAAAGTCATAATACTCGCTGAAAAAAATTATAAAATTTGCTGCTTTATGTGTAACCCGGTAATGCATACAAATCAGTTGGTAGTAGGATGTGACAGCATCGGAATAACCGAAATTTGTAGAATATTGTATTTTCATTATACTTGGTTAGACTAAATAGAAATAAAGCACGAAAAGGTAATTACTGTGGATGTATATTTACATCATGATTGTTCTTCTACTGCTACTGATAAACATAATTCGTGATCACGAATAACGTCACACCAAATAATTTTCTGTACTGCACAATGATGATTTTTTTATTAAATCGTTGGCTCAAACGAATGCTACGACGTGTTAAGGGGAATTATCTTATTAACTGAAATCCTTATTAACATGTGATTGCCGTTGGAACATATGAGTACGCCATGTATATAAATGTATTCAATAACAAAATTTGAAACTATCCATATTCTCTCATTTGGATATGAACTCGGGAATTTTTATTAAAATAGGGTTGTGTGTTTGGCATACAGGTTTGAGCTGTATTTATGTCCTCGTTGTCTTTCAATTACCTTAGTTTTTCTATCTGAAACCAAATGTACCCATTTTGTGTATTACTTTTAACATATAATGTTTTTGTAGTTTCTGCCATTGCACAACTTTTACGGTGTCAAATCAAAACAATTTTCTTCGAATATATGTCAGAATCTCATACTGTCTAGTTTGTTTACATTTCGAGGTGATTAGTTTATATTTCGGCTTGAGGTAATAATTTGAGCTTAATGAAGTATGTCTAATTTAATATAATTTGGATAAATGACCAATAAAAACGGAGATGAGGCCTAGAAAACCACAAACCGAATCCGTCTTTTAACCTGTGACGGTGAGGATACAGCAAAATCGAAAGCAAACAAAAGGGAAATATGTTCGGGCATCCTGATTTTTTTTGCTGCGCAGATGTCCATTGTCTTATGCTTGATACCTTGTAATGTAATATGCATGCTACTATCATCCGTCTTCAATAGCAGTTCGTGTTTTTTTAGATATATTTTGTAGATTTAATCTTGCAATCGATCGCTGTACTTGGAAATGTTAATAAAATAAAGAAAAATTAAGCATTTTATTTTACTTAATGGTTAAATAATGCGGGGATAACAGGTCAAAGTTAATCTGCATTTTTAGGTACCTAGGCTGTTTACAGTTCTCAAAGCCTGGTTACCACTTGATTGTTTATTGGACACGTAGTGGACATAACGATCGTTTCAATATTATGTTGTTCTTGTTATTTGACACAGAATAACACACCTAGTGGAAATATTAAAAAACCGCTTTTCTCTTCGAATACTGGACCAATTGCTTTGAAATTTTTAGTGGTTGAAGATAAAATTTTTCCCCAGAAGGCTATTACTTTTATTCATTTTAAATATTTCTGTTATCTCTGTGAGATTTGTTTTTGTTTGCTATGACGTCATTAGACGTTCAGTGTTTATCGGACGCCATTTTGTGTCCTACTGTACTGCTTCACTTGGTCTGAATATATTTGTAGACTGTGATCTGACGGTACGGTAAACCGTACTGTACTGCGAACAGACGTGTCCATATATTTGGGCTTAGCTCTCTTGTTTAAGTTGAAGTTCTTTTTTTAATAAGTGTCGTTATCTTATCAAATCACAGTTTAATGCTCGTATATATCCGTTTTACCAGTATGATTCACGTCATTACGCGTAGCGTGAGATGGCTGTAATCAATATCTTAGCAGTCCTCGTTTATGGCAGCACCTGTAATTGTCGATAGGAACAGAATCATTTTAGTCAGAGAAGCAATTATTTTATTTTAAAATAGACTGAAGGGGGAGGAAACATGAGCAAAAGGATAAATGACGCAAGCAATAATGAAATTGTACATTTTTTTTTCAAGAACGATTACTGAAAAGATTGCTAAATATTGGATCTCAGGTAATCTTAAAAACATATGCAACTTGAAGCGTCCAAAATGAGTTTTCATGCCACATTATGAAAAGACGGTATGGTGTATTACCTGTTCAAATTGTAATAGCTTGAACGTTCATTTCAGTAATATAAAAAAAAAGGCAAATCACATTTAACATGCGTCCAAAAACGTCAATTACTTGTCAACTTGTCCGGCAATTACAGGCATAATAAACATTATTGAAATGTTTAGAAAAGTGCAGAGAGTGCATAATTGCTATAGCAGGGGTCACCGACACGGTGCCCGCGGGCACCAAGTCGTCCGTAAGGACCACATGTATGTTCTAAAATTAGCTCAAGTAATGGCGTTTATCCATAAGCTGCATCTATGAATGCTATGCTTGTTCAAATCACACTTAGATAAAAACTGGAAATTGCAATACATCTATAGTGTGTATTGTAACGAACGACCTTATCTATATGTGACCTCGGTAATGTCAGGGGTCATTTAATACTGTGCCAGCTTGAGCCATGCGTGCTATTCATTTCCGATTCTTTCGTGAATATGGACATATCAAGCGTTGTTGAGCAACGTTCAGTCTTGATGCTGGACAGATGGAGCTTGAAAATGTGACAGCGCAAAATGACCTTCACCTCAAAGCCTATTAGGCAGTGGCGGCGCGTCAATAGGGCAACCGGGGCAATGCCCCGGTTGTTTTTTCGGTATAATAAAAAATAGTCAAAAAATACCTCAATATCGGTTGCACAGACTGTCTACACTAGCCATATTCTCCCGACATGGTTCATTTTTCGCTCGCAAAGCCTTCGCCGAACGTCGACGGGGCGACGCCGATTTTGCCCCGGTTGCTCATTGTATATCGTATTCTCTCTTTTATCTTTCACTCGCCGCGTTTGTCTCGTTTGTTTTCTGTTTCTTTTACTAAATCTTCGGGGCCGGCGCCTTCATTTTTTCTCGCTTTTTTCTCCACAATATTCTATCACGTGGATGTATTATACGGCGCATTGCAGTCAAGGCTAATGGATGGAGCGTCTGTGCAGTCGTGTATTTCAGACTTCTGCGATGCTGTATCTCGTATCCGGGAAACAATAAAATACGACGACACATGGAGTGCTTCTTTACGCCGCGGGCAAACAACGCAGCGTTTGATTTTGTCTGCAAAGGAATGCTGTGACATTCTGGTGAATCAAATAGGCGATCGTCTGCGCACTGAACACCTTGCCGCGTTCTCTTTGATGAACCCCAAAAATTTTTCAAAATTTGCACGTCAATTTCCCATCCATTTGTTGGCTACTGTCTCCAAATTTTACCCCATGATAAACGTGGGTAAATTGGAAAATGAATTGCGATGTATATACACCAATCAAACTTTTTTGAACATCACATCAACTTGCGCGCTCTATGGGTTCCTCATAGATAACACTCTAGTAACTACCTTTGCGGCGTCTGCAAAATTTCTGGACATCATTTTGACGACGCCTATTTCTTCCGCCGACGCAGAGCGAACATTCAGCACGCTGAAGCGTATTAAAACGTATCTCAGAAACACAATTAAGCAAGATAGATTAAATTCCTTGGCTATTTTATCCATTCACAGAGACGTTATTTCTGGGATGCATGACTTTAATCAGCGCGTTATTGAGCATTTTGCTTCCAAGAAACCGCGGCGTGTTGCATATATGTTCAAGCAGTAGAAGTCTAGCAGCATATATACCTATGAGTGAGCGACGGATGTTCTTATCTTTGCATTAGCTTTCCTTTCTTCATAGTAACGTTTTAAACCTTATTTTAGGTTTTGTCTGCTTTCCCGAAGTTTCTGTTAATATGTCATTGTATTTATCTGGGTGAATATTGCCTTTCCTTTTGAAAGAGGTTTCAAAATAAACTATGTCTATATTTATTAATCCCTTGACTTGGACCGGTTTTAAAGACACTTTCTTATCGGTAAAAATTGTCGTTTTTGCCGATTGGTTGTTACCGATGGAATGGTTTTTATACTCATAAAATGATGGGAGAACTTACAGCGCTCATCCTGTCCCCGTAGATGGGGGTGACTTGGTCCCGCAGTAGCTTGCCCCGGTTGTCAAAATGACCACGCGCCGCCACTGCTATTAGGGTGTGCCAAACTTATAGGGCCTAATTAACAGAGAAAAGTACAGTCTGATAGTGGTGTATAAACAGCAGATTTTTAGGTCGCACGCTTTTTTGGTTCAACCTATTTTGGGAATTAACTTTTTTTGAAATTAACCTCATCAAGAACAATGCAGAACACGCTTCCCTGATCAAAGGCATGCAAGACTCACTCAGAGTTATACACAAAGTAGGCTACAACACACTGGTGGAAAGTATTCGATGCCAGGTTTCCCCCCAACTTGGTTGAAAAAAAGATATTCATGATTGGTTAAATGTGTTTGTAAAATAGAGGTTGGTGACCCCTGTGTTATATTAAACTCAATTACGGCTATTACGAGAAGATGGTACGAGAAGATGAACTATCAGTTGACGGATCAAACGCAATTTACACATTAAAATTTCATAAGAATGTTGAATTGAAATTGCTCAAACTAGATTTTATAAACGGTCATTACATGTTTACGCGGTCTTTAATATCTCGATCTCGAAATCAAAACGAATAAATATATATCCCTCAGGCATTTTCTCATTTGCCGCCGTTAATGAGCCCTTCTTCTTTACCAGTCATGACATCATCAATAGTTATATTACAACAGGTCAGTTGGATTGATACGTCAAATCCGAAAGTCAGGTTTATTTAAGCAATTTTTTGAGCTATATTTAGAACGTGCACGTCATAAATTTGTCGCGGCGCTAATGTTACGTTTGTGTGCTAAAAACTTAGCGGTATCGAATAAGCGATAAACAAGTTGTTGATATCTAATGGTGCTTTTCTTCTACTAAAATGATTCACAACCCCATATTGGTATACTGCTGTTTAAAAAAGAAGCTTTATGTGACCAATATATATATATACCTTCATCCCCTTGAAAAGGATGCGTACACCAAAACCTGGGGAGATCATTCAAATGGAGACTGGGTAGCATATATCAACTCCCATTACTTACTTTGTATGAGTGGCATATTAACCGTGTTGTGCTGCAGCTTGATAGCAAAGACCAGAATCGTACCGGTTCGACACGGAATAACAAAGGCCGTTACCACAATTATACTCGTAAGATTACGAGTAGTATTTTCCCAACTGTTTTTATCTCCCAAGCCCTATTTACTGATGCATTATTCACAAAGCTTAAGTAACTAGTATGTCATAAATACAGAAGCTCAAATTATCTTGTTATGTTCAATAAGAGACGACCTAAGACAGCGTAGCTAGTTGTTCCCCTCGGATGTTACCGATGTGAATGGTAAAGTCATGCGTTTCCATCGTTGTCAAATAAAGTTAGCAATTGAAATTTGCCTATCTAGAACTTATTTTACACTTACAGAATACTTATTCTCTAAGTTTTAAGTACGTCTTATCAATTTAGATAATACAATAGTTGCGCTGCACGAGGATCGAAGATAAATGAATTCTACTGTCCCGACTAATGCTACGTTTAGCATAAACACAACAATTACAGGATTTGGCAACAAAGGACTAACTGAATGGGAAACTTATCAGATATTTGCGGCAGCTTTAGCTGCAATATCTCTATACATTGCTGTTGCTCAAGTAATGTATTGCTTTATAATTGTGAGACAGCGAAGAAAAAGAAAAATAGAGAGTAAAAGAGGCCATGGGTCAACATCAGAACCGCGCGATCTGTTCGTAAATACTCTAAACACGCTGGTAGTAATCGCAGCAGTATTCGCATTTATGCGATGCGGTTTTGATTTCTGTTGGGTCATGGAACGATTTACGGACCTCACTTGCGAATTTTCGATCAAATTTAAGAAGACTTGTTACGCAATATCAATGCTATGTGTTTATCTAGTTTTGTGGCTTCGTCAAAGGATCTTTTACAGGAATCCGCATCTTGAACATTTGAGTACACGGACAGTGAGATTCATAAGCTGGAGCTTATCAGTGCTTTTGGTAACTGGAATTCTTTTTCTGGGTATTTTCTATCTCACTACAGCCATTTACGTTGGAACACCGAACGGATGTGCTGTTGTGAAAAATCCAATAACTGTAGTCAGGTGGTATCTGCTAATGTTTCTCATGGTACCCTTTCAAGTTTGTTTATTGGCGTTATACTCATATCCTCTAATAAAACACATGCTGGTATGTGACGCTATTGCAGGAAACGCAGATCACGTCATACCGCTAATAAGGAGAGCTGCTGTTGCCGCTGGATTCTGCGCACTCACGGACATTTCGTTTGCGGTCATTTTCCTTGTGTATGAGCAGGAGGAGATTACGCTGACCACATTTCTTTATGACGTCAATGTTGTCATAAATGTGTTAGGTTTAATATTGTCTTTTCAGAACTGGCAAGTTAGACTTGTACCATGGCGAATGGGATTCGGTAGTAAGCGACGTGTGACAGAAGTCCACGTTAACCCTGCACCAAGTGAAACAATATAAACTAAATTATTTCAATTTCATAATGTGTTTTTATCATGCTTTGACAATATCCACTGCCCTATCGCCATATTTTATATCCGAAACTTGTGTTGGTTTTTTACTTCTGAACTGAATTTTGTATTTTTATACCGGACGTAAAATTATTTATTGTAATATCTGTCATAATTGGTGGTCAGTGCTATTTGGTTTACATAGTATAAACAAATGAATACATGAATTAAACAATGATATTTAACTACATCTCATACTGTTCAAAATGGGAATTCCTTTTAAGTTCCGCATTCGGTTTGAATCACTCGTTTCCGTAGTTTAGTGTTCACAGAAGCCGGTAGTTTAGTGTTCACAGAAGCAGGCCTGAGAACAATGCTTAAAAATAGCGACACGAAGTACTGTAAGGCCTGAGAGCAATGAGTTTGCTGAAAAAGGCGTGCAGTACGAAATAAAAGTATTCCCATTCAAAGAAATAGAAAAATGTTGGCAACCAAATTTGCCCAAAAGTTTTATTTTAAATGTTTCCGAATTCCATGATTTGTATAGTCTATAATTTCTTCTTGGTTTTCGAGAGATTTTTTTCGCTATATCTAACATAAAGAATAAGATGAAAAAAAAATATTAACAAGATGCCCAATAATAACAAAACAATCAATAAGCATACTTCGTGTCAAATGAATGATCTCTTTTCTGTACACAAGAACAATCAGTGACCGAGAGCGCCATCTACCGGAGATGTCACAATGATAGTTGAAGATAATTAAAAAGAGGTGTCTGCCGATGGGGAGCACTAGCGATCCACGAAGCACCTGCCTTATCAAGCGCCCTGTAGAACCGCATCCCTGGTAGTAATCCAACAGACGTTTTTCCGTCGTCTAACTGAAGGAAAATTCTTTCTACACTTGATGAGTTTGTGCTTACAATCTAGTTTTTGAGTTCATGACTAGCTTTTCGATTCAAAATATTGAGCCACCTCCCATACTGATAGGGGCTAATTTTAGGCAAGCCTATTGCAGACTATTCAGGGCCAAGAGGAAGATTTGCTCATCAACGACATATATCATGGCCAAGCTACATTTCATATTTGGTTGAATTCATATTTGACTTTATGTGTATTGACTTCTTTTTAAAGTAATTTATATATATTTACGTTAACTGCTTACCATTTTTACATGTGCTCATCTATATGCCACATGGTGACATGAATAAAACCTGAAAGTAGCATAGTTATTAGTTTAGTACCGGCAGACCTCATGGTATTAAAATTAGTTTTTTTGGTTTTGGTCGTTTTTGGTTTTCAATCCTTTATTAGGGAATGAATCATATACGAGTATATCGTTATCACGTGATCAAGAAACGTTTGAAATTTCATACCAAGAAGCGGTGTACATAATATAATTTTTGTGACAATTTTCAATTATTTAACACAAAAGCGCGTATAGGAGTACATTGTCCAAAACCATGTTTGACAACATTTTAGAGCCATTCATAAGGTTTGCGTTACCGTCTCGATTGCGTCCGCCATCTTTCTTTCGTCAATTGCTCTTTCTAAATTACACGAAATTGATGAAATGAACAACTAAAATCGATTGTGACGCAACAATGATGATGTTGTGTTTCACAACAAATCCGTGTAGTTAGAAATAGTTCCCATACGGAGCTCTATTTACATTTGAGATCTGTTTTAGTGGAATCTGTTTATCACATATTCATTTCCCAAGCATGGCGCCGGCTTTTAAGTACGCACCATGCTTGTTCAAACACGATTTTCTTGGGAATTATTAATAGTTTTCAACCCCAAAAAACAATTCTCCTCTTGCGTATGCGCGCGTCCATGAGTCAGTTTGTTTTGGGTATTACAGAATGCTTTAGAATCGTGGAGCCACGCGCGATATTCTCAACTAAAACAAAAGCACGGAAAGTTTTGTACCCTTACGTGTGATGTTGCCATATAAAGCAGTGACCTATTTTGAAAACAGAAATTGTATAAAGATGGACAGTCTTATGATGTGGACATGGGGATCAGTATCACACAAACATCAATATTTTCGGTTGTACCTTCTAAATTCTCATTATTCTTGCTATTTTATCGTCATTTTTTTTTGGAAAATATATTTAATAAAAACACTCATTATTTTACGTGCAGCTACCCCGGCGAAATACAAATGATCAATGCATAAATAACTTGTATCTAAGTGATACGGGCAAGCTTGATGTTTCTTCTTCATTGCGTTCTTATAACTTTTTCTTTTGTTAAACCATCTTACAGAAGGTAAAACAAAAAATGCCACTATTTCTTGGCGATCATATATATCAGACCAGTTCAAATACCTTCATGAGCATAACAGACCGCATTCTGCGACCCTTCTGGTAGGCAATGTCGGGAACAGCTGATAGAATGGTCACAGCAACTCAAAAATAAAACATATTTTCACATTTGGTAAAACACATTTCAAATGACTGCAGGCAAAATATATACCGAAACAATATCGTCAAAGGATTACTGAGTCAATAGTTCTTCCTTTAATTTTTATTTCATCTAATGACTTTTCGTCTATCCACATTACATATGTGTAATCCCTTTTCGCCCCTTTGATGCATTGAAATTTCATCAAAAAGCAATCATCTAATGTTTCAATGATTTTGGGGTCTAAGCAGATAAAAAGATACCGACACAAATGAAACTGGTGGCTCAAATAACCGCGACATGCGTTGCTTTTTACGACGGTAACACTATTCCCTTTGAAGGTGACATGGAAGTATCGGATAAATCTGTTCTCGGCGAGAGAGAAGGCGTATAATTAGCAATGAGTAAGAATATATAGATGATTTGGAATATTTATATTTACAATGGAATAAAATGTATAATTTATTCAAATACTCATGTTTCATATTGGTCAGCCTTGTTTAAATTGGGATATTTCCGAATATATTACTTTTGGACAATTGGAAACCCTGCTTTACACATTGTTATTATTCCAATACCTTTGCAAAATTTTGACATGATCCTTTGACGACGCTATCTCAAATTTTCAGGTCTAAATTTTTACAAACCAAAACAACTGAAATATGATATTGTTTACTATTAAAAATACAGTATAATAACTACGTATCTTCAGCGTGTTGCGGATATCATGCACATTGGATTTTGACAAATTTGCATTTTGCTATATTCTTTAACATGGGTAATATCTGATATCAAAATGACTCGATTTGATTCATTATGTTGAGGCTCAAAAAAGCAACAACAACAGTGGAATTTTGCAGACTCAACCATGCCAATGTGCTATCGTGCATCACAATGTCATAATATATGGTTGTTTATTGGTTGAATTTAAAATAATTTCGACGATGACAGCCATCTTCAAATTATGGGCACTTAACCCTTATTTCTACATCTGAGTAAAACTATCGATCTCGAAATTAAATTACAGCTGTTTCCGTGTACTTGACATCAAAGACAAAAATGGATGGTTTATGTTAGGCACACACTAAATTTAACCATAAATATTTCTCCTTTATTCTCTGAGTGAGCGATGAGAATAAATATCCAGTTTGTCTTCGTTAACGAGCGTCTTTTCAAGAATATATAATATTTAAACCATATTATATAATTTTTTTTAAATTTCGGGTGCGAATTACGCTTGGCCCGTTTTTTCGACATTTCAATAGGTATCGCAAAATTGGATTTGTGCATGAAAATTAATTCATTGTTGCCAGTTTTCCCGTAGTGTCAATGTGAGAATTAACAACTGGTTTTCTGCCAAATTTCCTAACTATAACGATTTTGTGACAAATCGGAATTCACAACATGTACTGATTTCAAGCAACCCGTTAACATTCGACGGTGCTAACTATTCTTGTCCAAATTGCGGCTGAAAAATTGCTGTGGTTCCACTAAAACAACTGTTAGTTTTTCCTGTAATCCTCCAAGCCAAACTCTTTTTTCTACATTAAGCAATGTTTCAATTTCACGTATAAAAGACCACTTATCGACTCGAGCTTTTGAATTGATATTTTTCCTATTAAGCTATAATGACAGATATTGTTTGCGAATTTTATTCGGATTCCATCACAATAGTTTGCACAAATCAACATATTTTAAAGAGAGGTTGTGATGGATAATTCTAGAATATCAAACTTCCCAGATACGATTCGAAGATCTGAGATTGTATTATAATTGCACTGTGTTTAGTGTCCGATTCGACGTATTGAAAAAATATGAAGCCATTCCCAATGAACGGGGCGTTTGGGTACAGTAACCATTACCGCAAAAAAAAAACAGTCATCCATCAAAGATAAACCCAGCGAGAAAACGTGTGGTAAAACATGGACGAACGAAGTAGGTTATCTTAAAACTAATCTCTCTCACATAAGTTGAGTAATCTCTCCGAATACCAATTTGACGTTTTCTAAGAAGCAAAGTATTTTTACCAACCACTGTTAGCTTAATATTATGTATATATGAGGAATATAAAATCGTACTTTTCTATGTTCAAAGTATATATGCATCATTCGTGAACGAGGAAATATCGTCGAAAACGCTGAAAGGTTATACCTTAATGCGTTATTATTTTTAAGTCTTTGGTGAAGTTTTGCTCATGCCAAAGTGTCAAGTAATTTTGAAAAATTAGGAATCATTTTCACATTCACTTTCTTAACTACTTTCCATTATTATTTTTTTGGTTCCCGAGAAGACCAATGCCCGAACACAAAAACTTCTTTAATTTTGAGATCCGAACTACAAAATAAATTGAAGACAGAAGACAAATTCAATTAGCACGATATCATGTCATATCGTGAATAAAATCACATGTGTATTCTCATATGTTAAAAAAAAGTCAAGACAGACGCTGACCACAGCATCCTGCGGCTGACATGTTTACGTGAAGCCGCGCTAAAAACGGGTTTTATTTAAGTAAAACATCTGGTGTGTAAAAAATTCGATGAAAAATTTGAATAAACAGACAAACTGACTTGTCTCGTGGGAACTATTTCATTTTTCGTTCTGTTAATCAGTGACATCTTGGCATATGATAGAAAAAGATTAATCAACCGAACAAAATCTGGCATAGGTCGTGAATTTATTTTTTCAGGCATACAACGCAAATACAGCTAGTCAAGTGGCAACAGCTTTATACATAGGCTGCTGTAATGTTGACATGGTGGTTGCATTGCATTGTAAATTCGCCATCTATATATTCAAACTATACATACCCACTTCAATTTTACAAACCGACTTAATAAACTGGTTTATA